TGTAAATAAATATATGAAGGTTTTTTGACCGGAACTATTCATTTTTTCCAATGCATAGGGGGCTACTCTCTGGGTTTTACAAGAGATGTTTAAAAAGACATTCGTGTCAGCTAATGTGACCTATATTGTTTAACACCTTCTTATTAATATTTTTTTCATGAATGCAAATATCTGATTATTTTACGAAGGAGCGTACATGTATATTGATTTTTAATATACCGAAAATCGCTATTTCTGGGGATTGCGTAATTCAAAAAAAATTCAAATAAATTTCAAAGGTAAATTAAACAAAGGATGCTTGGTATTAAAATATTATTTCAAATCAGTAGAATTGAATGCTATTAACGACATCTGAATGAATAGGCTATAAAAGGCTTATATGCCAACTTTGGTCATCTGCACTTTAATTTTAAACACGACAGGATTTGTAATTTTTTCTGTATAAATTAATAATTTCTATATACTTTGGAAACTCAAATGAAATATTTTAATACACTTTCCTCGAGCTTTTTTTTTTTCAGTTTTCTTGAAATTTTATGTGGGTCCGAGGTGTTATTTGAGTTTAACAGTGATTCTCTACGTTGCCATTAATTTGATTTGTTTGTGTGTGTGTGTGTGTGGGGGGGTTATTTTTATTCTTAACCTATTTAACGTTGGAGTTGAATCTTGTATCTTATTCCAAGAACTTAAGATTGATTGTGACATTTGGATGAAAGGTCAAGGTCATTAAAAACCACCACCTCTTTAACTTCTAACCTGTCAACCGAAATAAACTCTGAAAGGTGTTTCTAGATTCATGTACATGTACTTCATGTTTCATTTTACCCTTGGGTCAAGGACAAAGGTTAAGGTCGATTTCAAGCTCATAGGTCAAGGTGATTTTGGTAAATAGCTAATATCAACATTTTATTCAGGTTACCAGTGACCTTGACCTAAGTTTCAAGGTCAAGGGTAAAAAGATCTGCATGCTTCAGTATGTTACATGTCTTGACATTTAGAAGTTCTTAATTCTGCATGAACATCTAACACTCAAGTATACTGTCTTTTAATACATTGTGTGCGGTCGCATGTGCATGCACGTCCATGCATTTACTTTTGATAGTAGTATAATGTAGGCAATCATTATATCTATTCATATTTGAAATTTCACCCTGTATTATTGAGAACCAAGAAAGTTGTAGGCATTTAAAGTTTTAGCCAATCAGATTGCAGCACACGTGCATGTGCGTGCGTTCAGGATTATTCTTATATATCATACTGTAGATCTTCATAATGTAAGACTATGTTCAAAATTTCAAAGGATTTTGTCAGAAAACAAAATAGATATTTAGACTTTAAGTTTCAGCCAATCGCAGCGAAGGGCACCTGCATGCGCGCGAGATCTTGCTATTTTGACCAAGTCATCATGTCTATACTACTATTATATCCTTATATTATGAGTTTCAAAGCATTTCATCCAATATTTAAAAAGTTACGGCTAAATCTACTATATTTGTCATTTCACGTGTTACACGTGCGCGCACATGCACGCACGTGCGCGCACATGCACGCACGTGCGCGCAAAATGACCTTCGTTCCGCACATCTACATAACATACCTAGTGACCCTAAAAAGGTTTCACCTAGATTGGATGAGTAGTTTACGAGAACACTCGCGGACAAAAAAGTACCGGAGAACAAAGAAAAAATTCAGAAAAAGTAAAAACAATATGTTCCCAAACTTCGTTTGGGGAACATAATTACATGTAGAGGGAATTTAAAATTTTTCAATGCACATTTTAAAAGCAGCTCAATATTAAGTAAACCGTCAGTCAAACGTTTTGATTGCAAAAAAAACTATCCTCTGCCACCATGAAGTATCTAATTATGAAGAAATCCAACATGGCTGAACAACAAAAACTGCTTGAACTTCACTGAAAAACATGCAATAAACAAACTGAATTTGATCACCTATTTTGTAAGTTTTTCTTTGGGAAAACTTCCACTACATTTTGGGAAAATACAAGCATATTTTCAATTGGGACTGGGGCCAAATTTCGGCCCCAAATCGGCCCTAAAAAAATCACTGGATTGTATGTACGTATGTAACTTATAGACTTTTAGGAAAATTTTAAGTGCTTTTTTAATTTGAGCACCAATGACAATTCCCAAAATTTGGAAACATAAAAATTAACAAACACTCCCCAACTCCTTTTTTTGTGCCATATTCCATGTAAGCCTTTTTTAAAGAAGACAACATCGGTGCATTTTTGACTTTAACAACGTTTTCCCAGAAGGATACCAATTATATTGAAATTTTAACATTGCACGCGTGTACATGTGAATGCACGTGCGTAATGATCATATCATCTTGTCTACACTTTCTATATATTTAAATATACTATATATTAAAGCATTTAGTCTAAAAGTATTTTAAATCACTCATTCAAGTGTATTTTAATTTCATTCGTTCTAAATGCACGCAGGTGCGTGCACGTGCATGATGACCATACCTTCTTGTAGCAGGCCCTAATATCTATCTATGTTCTAAATCCCATCCTGTTTGGTTGAAAACCAAGGGAGTTATAGCAATTTCAAGTTTCAGCCAATCAAATTGCAGCACACGTGCATCCGCGTGATTTCATGAATTTTTTTTCTTAATCATATTGTAGGATATCTTAATGCATTACTATGTTTTAAATTTCAAAGCATTTCGTCAAAAAACAAAGGAGATATAGCTGTTTAAAGTTTCAGCCAATCAGATTGCAGCACACTTGCATGCGCGTGATTTCTTGAATTTTTTTGTATATCATATTGCAGTATATCCTAATGCATGTCTGTGTTTAAAATTTCAAAGCATTTCATGAAAAAACAAAGGATATATAGCCATTCAAAGTTTCAGCCAATCAGATTTAAGCGCACGTGCATGACGCTTTTTCATGAAAATTTGTATATATCAAATTGTAGCATATCCTAAGGCATGACTATGTTCAAAATTTCAAAGCATTTCGTCAAAAAACAGAAAAGATATCGAGATTTTTGTTTCAGCCAATCAAAGTGAAGTGCACGTGCATGCGCGTGAGTTCGTGCTAATTTGACATTGTCATAGTTACTACACTACCAATATATCCTTATATAATGAGTTTCAAAACATTTCGTTAAAAAATGCAAAAGTTATGGCTATTTCAAATATATCTGTCACTTCACTCATTTCACGCGCCCGCACGTGCAGGCGTATGCAGGCAAAATGACCTTCGTTCCGCACACCTACACTACAAACCTATTAACCCTAAAAAGATTTAACTTAGTTGGGTGAACAGTTTCTGAGAACACTTCCGGACAAAAAAGTACCGGAGGACAAATAAGAAAAAAAAAAAATAATAATAATAAGAAACCGAGTAAAAACAATATGTTCCCAAACTCCGTTTGGGGAACATAATCAACAGCTTTTTGACCCGGCCAGCTTCGCAAAATTAAATCGACGTAAAATTCCAGATTTACGGTAGGAGCTAATTTCATACCTTGAAAATTTTTTAGTATCTCTGTCGGCTTCATCATTCTCAATAATTAATTCACACATGCCAGTATCGTCACTTGTTATAAATGAATTACGTATATGAGAGAGTAAAAAGGCTGCATTGTCCATCATCGCCATGATTCTGTTATTTTGTGAAATCTGTTTTGGTACTACAATTTCAGCTCAATCTGTAAAGACATAAATAAATGTTTATGCTAAAATGTCTGTAAAATGGCACATTTGTAATTTTTACAAATAGAGAACATTAAAGATTTGTTGATATAATACATATATCCCAAAGAGTTGGCAATTTTATCAATCGAAAATAGGGAGAAAATGAGCTTCAAAGAATGACAGAAGTGCTTGCTACACACACTCCCTCAATCACTGCTCGTATTAATGCCTGTTTCCAATTTTTTTCTCTTTATTGATAAAATTTTCAATTCTCCTAGTATAACCCAAAAAGAAATACAGTGGCGTGCCAAAAGTGAAGATAATTTTATTTTTTCTCTATATATTTCATTGAAAACAACATTTTGTAAAATCTTAGGTAAATGGTCAATTTTAGTCCAATTTAATTATTTATTTCAGTACTTAAACCAGAAAATGTGTAGTTATCTTTCTTTAAAAGATCATTACACGTTTAATATGTAGTAAAATATAGTTCATCACTAAACATCAGTTCAAAAATTCAAGATCAATGTTGACTATATAATTCATTGTGAATATATGACTTAAAAATTCATGTCAAACTAAAATTAAAATACTTTTAAAGTATCAATGCTTATCAGATAAAAACTATTGTTTTTTTAACTACAACAATTTCTTGGATTATCCAAAAATTTTTGATAAAATCTGTCGAGAAATGTTGTCATACCAGCGATTTTACAAAATATTGTTTTCATTGAAATATATAAAGAAAAAATAAAATTATCTTCACTTTTGGCAAACAACTGTACATGTACTCTGCAGCTTTATTAGAGTGAACATGGTGGGGTTTACTGGTATGCACAGAAGGTAAAATGATTAAACTAATTTCCAAAAAGTATGTCGTGTTTAAAATTATACTAATAATTATCAAAAGATAATCATCTGAGTCATCTCTTTTCTTTTTCATAGTATATTTAAATGCAAGTGAAGATCCTCTGACAGTTTCAGGCTTTCAGATAATAAAATAAGGCACATTATTCAGCAGCAAAATAATGAAACAGCTCTTATCACTGTAGGAAAATGGCATTCAAAAGAAAATCAAACGAAGTTCGGACAACAAACAATCAGAATATCATACAATAGATCATGCAATCGTAACCCATAATTTAATACAGAAAAAAGAGGTATAGAAAACCGTCATCACCTTCCTGACATAGCTCTTCTGTAATTAAAGGTACAAAAGACAGCTTCCCTCATCTTGATCAAAAAAACGTTTTACAATTTGACATGCAAGATTGGTATTATAAGTATCAAGACAACATGGATGGAAAAAAAATGTGCTTGCAGACAATTGCGTGAATTTGGAAAAAAGTGAGAATTAATGCCTAAACTTTTGGCAGTTACATAGTAAGAGACCCACGTGTTTGACAATAACCCTCACAAACGTCATTCTACGCAGTGTCACTCCACTTTTTGTAAACATTGTAAAAGCTTCGTTCTTGTAAAAGGCATTCTCCCATACTTGTTCTATATACAGCAGAACAGGAAATCGGGAAAGAATCCTCTGCTTTACCTTTGTCAACTAACAACCTGTAATACTGGATATTATTTAATTCTACATAGTTTGTAAAAAAAACTTTCATACTAAATTCAGACAATCAGATATAAAATCTTTGTCATTGTAAAACTCCCTTTTTTAATACATGCAGTGTGCATAGTGGTTAGACAGACATCTCGGCCCAGTGACACCTCAGCCCATGACGATTGACACCTTGGCCCTGACAGGTCGACTCAAAATTATTGACACATCAGCCCACATCAAAGACACCACGGCCTAAGTAAAATTTTGTGACAGAAAAAATTAATCCAGTGTCTGAATTAATGTTATTATAAATTCATTCAATTTTTAAAATAATTCTTTCTGACGATTAATAGATTTTCTTCATAAAAATCAAATTGGGAAGGGGGAGAGGTCTATGATATCATTTCTAATCTATGTAAGTCCTTAACCCGCATCTCACTCTTGTGGAAGTGCGATATATATGCTTAGTAATGATTTATTCCATTAACGTAGTAGCATTTCTTTCTTATGATTAAATGAATATATTTCTATTATAAAAATGTATGTTGTTGTATCATTTTGCATTGTTTCCCTGGGGATTTAAAACATGGGATATGTCACTTATGATGATTTATCTGTGAAAAGGAATGGACTACATGTAAACATGTTGGTAAATTTTCTTTTTGGCTTGGGAGGTTAATGCGAGAATGAGAAAAATGTAGTTATATGAAATAGGAAATATGAATACAATATGCTTGTATCAAGTAATTAACTTTCATGAGTGTTTTCATAAGAAATGTTAAAGAGTCCTGCTCGTAATTAACCCCTCATAAATATTTGCCAGTATATATGACACACACTTGACACTCCATTAAAGAATGCACCTTGGCATTTTCTTTGTTAATGAATTAGCACCTTAATTATTTCTTCTCATTTTGATTATACTTGTAGGTAATAAGTTAGAGCCTTAGAGGCAGTTTCTTTATAATTTAGAAGAAAAAATGATGTTGTTTTTTTTTTTTGCTCAATATTATATTTTATTTAAATCCAAATTCTGGAATAGGAAATATAATATATTTTGCATTGAAATTTAGCTCAGGTCGAGGTGTCATATAGATTGGCTGACCTGTCTGGGCTGAGGTGTCATTGGGCCGAGATGTCCTTGGGCCAAGGTGTCTGACATTCGCAAAGTGTAATGAGAGAGATGCAGTTACTATTCAGTGCTCTAAATATTTTATTTTTTTTTTTACATACCCGGTATGAATTTTTTGGCAGGATTTGCATCATTGTAGATGAATATGTAAATGCTGAAAAAACAACATGAATCTGCTTCCTCAAAATTACAAAGACTTCCACTCGGCTGAGTATTGGGAAAATTTTTTCAAAAAGCGAGGAACAAAGGCATTTGAGTGGTATTTTTCTCTTTTTATCATTATTACTTAATGATCAGAATAATAATGCTATGTATGTTTTTTTCTGTAATTGCATCATTGGAACCCACAGGTTTTCTCTCTGTTACACTACTTTCAACCCGTGGGAGAATATAGTGTAACGAATAGAAAACCCATGGTTTCGATAATGCTGAAAATTGTGTAATATTTTGAATGTAATTTATAGAAAGTTCTCATTACCATTATAGATTTTATTTGAAATATATAAGGAGCCCAAATTTATAAATTGATGATTGAATGATCCTTGTAAATGATGAAGCTGCCAAGTGAACAAAACAAATTTTTTTTAGTTTTGAGTTTTAGCATAAAAAATATAAGGTTATTGATACCTTTGTAACACACATTTTATTTTTACGTATTAGCTTCACTTCTAGCTTATGTTCTGCTCTAGGTATGGAGAATATCCAGAGCTTTGTGGAGTTCTACATAAGTACGTGAAGATATCAGACAAGATCCTGGTAAGCGGTTGTGGTAACTCGGTGCTGAGTGAGAATCTGTACGATGTTGGTCACCATGACATCACAAACATCGATATCAGCGACGTGGTCGTGCGACAGATGATCGACAGAAATAAGGCACAAAGACCAGACATGAAGTACATCAAAATGGATGCGCTCAATGTAAGGTGTTATTTTGTTAAATTTATATTGGATGAGGATATGTTTATAATAGGTTTTTTTAGAAATTTTATTTTACATTTGAAATGTGCTTTCTGAACTTCATACGAATAGAATAGATAATTTTTCTTACATAAAGAGTGAGAGTCTTCTATCATTGTAACCCCCCATGGATGATCTTATCTTTTACTTGTCATAATGTTAAGAATGCTATGTATTTGACAAGATCACCCATTGGTGTCTGATGACGAAGTAGACAATGTGTGACAAATTGAGTTACTTGCATGTAGTATTAACCTGTTTTTGTCCCCCACTTTCGCGAAAGCGAGGGGACAGTAAATCTCATTCGTCTGTCTGTCTGTCCCTCCGTCACAAAAACTTTAACCTTGCCATAACTTTTGATTTAGTGGAGCTATGACTTTCATATTTCACATGTGTATTCTTGTGAAAAGATTTTTCTGTGGGTACCACCAAATTGGACCTTTTTACGTTGGAGTTTGACCCACTTTTACACAAATTTTTTTAATTTTTATGCCCCACCATGAATATGGCCGGGGCATATAGTGTTTGTCATGTCCGTCTTCCATCCTTTCATCCTTCCGTCACACTTTGCGTTTAGCTCTGTTCAAAGCTAAGTTTCAAAGAAACTATCCAAGATATTTTCATCAAACTTCATATGCTGATAGATATTGATGAGAGCTATAGAACTGCATCAACATTTTTTGACCTTGACCTTTCCTTTGACCTTGACCTCACTTTTCTTAAATTAGTGTTTAGCTCAGTTTTAAACATACCATTCAAGATGGTGTTATCAAACTTCACATGTTGATACAAACTTGCATGGATGATGCATTTCGGGATGAACACTACCAGACTTGCTTTGGATGCTGGATCTGACCTACATTTTCCAGATGAGTGACCAGGTTAAAGTTTTTGGAGCAGGTCCATTCCCAAGTAACTATAAGCCCTACTTGGACCAAACTTGCACGGATGATGCATCTAAGGATGAACACTACCAGACTTGCTTTGGATGCTGGATCTGACCTACTTTTTTCCAGATGAGTGACCAGGTTAAAGTTTTTGGAGCAGGTCCATTCCCAAGTAACTATAAGCCCTACTTGGACCAAACTTGCACGGATGATGCATCTAAGGATGAACACTACCAGACTTGCTTTGGATGCTGGATCTGACCTACATTTTCCAGATGAGTGACCAGGTTAAAGTTTTTGGAGCAGGTCCATTCCCAAGTAACTATAAGCCCTACTTGGACCAAACTTGCACGGATGATGCATCTCGGGATGTCAGAACACTACCAAACTTGCTTTGGATGCTGGATCTGACCTACATTTTCCAGATGAGTGACCAGGTTAAAGTTTTTGGAGCAGGTCCATTCCTAAGGAACTATAAACCCTACTTGGACCAAACTTGCATGGATGATGCATCTAAGGATGGACACTACCAGACTTGCTTCGGATGCTGGATCTGACCTACATTTTTCAGATGAGTGACCAGGTTAAAGTTTTTGTAGCAGGTCCATTCCCAAGTAACTATAAGCCCTACTTGGACCAAAATTGCATGGATGATGCATCTAGGGATGGACACTACCAGACTTGCTTCGGATGCTGGATCTGACCTATATTTTCATTCCCAAGTAACTATAAGCCCTACCTGAACCAAACTTGGATGGATGATGCATCTAGGGATGGACACTACCAGACTTGCTTCGGATGCTGGATCTGACCTATATTTTCATTCCCAAGTAACTATAAGCCCTGCCTGAACCAAACTTGCATGGATGATGCATCTAGGGATGGACACTACCAGACTTGCTTCGGATGCTGTATCTGATCTACATTTTTATTCTCTAGTAACTATAAGCCCTACCTGAACCAAACTTGCAAGGATGATCATCTAGACACTACCAGACTTGCTTCGGATGATGGATCTGACCTATATTTTCATTCCCAAGTAACTGTAAGTCCTACATGAACCAAACTTGCATGGATGATGCATCTAGGGATGGACACTACCAGACTTGCTTTGGATGCTGGAGCTGACCTATATTTTCATTCCCAAGTAACTATAAGCCATGCCTGAACCAAACTTGCATGGATGATGCATCTAGGGACCTCACTTAAATGAAATTAATGTTAAACTTCATATGCTGATACATACTAATGTAAGCAATTCAGCTGCATCACTATTCAAGATATTCTGATCAAATTTTATACACATACAAATTTTCATGTTGCTTTACTAAATATATCCTCGGCGGTGCATTCGTGTCCTATGGACATATTTCTAGTTTACTTTAGCCATAACTTTTGAACGGTAGACACGAGGACTTTTATATTTCTCAGATGTATTCTTTGTGGAAAGACCTTTCATTGGATATCAACAACTTTGACCTTTTGACCTTGACCTTGGAGATTTCCGTACTAATGAAAAAACTTGAACCTTGGCCATAACTTTAAAAGGGTATAAAGGGCTAGGATTTTCATACTTCACATATGTAATACTTGTGAAAAGTCCTTTCATTGGATAACAAGAACTTTGACCTTCTGACCTTGACCTTGGAGTTTTTAACCTTGGCCATAACTTTTGAAGGGTTAGTGCTAGGGCTTTTGTACTTCAAATATTTAATCCTTGTGACAAGACCTTACATTGGATATCAAGCACTTAGACCCTTTGACCTTGACCTTAGAGTTTGACCTACTTTTTAAAAACTTTAACCTTGGCCATAACTTTTGAACGGTAAGGGCTGGGGCTTTCATACTTCACATATTTATTCCTTTTCACAAGACCTTTCATTGGATACCAAGATATTTGACCTTCTCTGACCTTGACCCTCGAGTTTGACCTACTTTTTAAAAAAAAACCTCGACCATAACTTTTGAAGGCTTAGGGCATTCATACTTCACATATTTATTCCTTGTGACAAGACCTTTCATTGGATATCAACAACTTTGACTTTGACCTTGGAGTTTGACTTACTTTTTAAAAACATTAACCTTGGCCATAAATTTTGAATGGTAAGGGCTAGGACTTTCATACTTCACATAAGTAATGCTTGTGAGAAGACCTTTCATTGGATACCAAGAACTTTGACCCTTTTACCTTGACCTTGGAGTTTGACCTACTTTTCAAAATTTGGGTACCAGTATATTTAATTTGCATTTAAGAAAAGTTTAAATTTCGCCTTGTTGCCATACAGGGTCTTGTTCCTTTTAACTTTTGATTGAGAAGAGATAGGGCTTTGATATTTGACATGTGCATTACCTACGATAAGTAATTTCCGAGCATGCTATGATTTCTGATTCCTTGACGTTGCCCTTCACGATTGACCTTATTTTTAAAAAAATTAACTTTGGTGATAATTTCTAAATGACATATGATAGGGCGTTCATATATGACATATCACCCACAAAGGCACCGAAAGCGGGGGACCACAATTCTTTGAATTTGCTTGTCTGGTTTTCAGATGGATTTTGAAGATTCCTCATTTAGTGTTGTCTTGGACAAGGGGACATTAGATGCCCTAATGGTGGACGACTCTGATGCTGTGACTAAAGATATCGATAAAATGTTCAGTGAAATTGGACGAGTACTGAAGCTGGGTGGTCGATACATTTGCATTTCTTTAATGCAGGACCATATATTGAATAAAACTCTACAGTATTTCCCTGAAGTGTGAGTTTCTCTTAAGTTATTGCACAAAAATGAGATATTGGGAACTACGCATGTTAGTTGTTGAGAAGTAACTCTGTGCCATAATGAATTTCGGATGTTCTTAATTGTAACTTTTATTGGATATATTTAATCAGAACATTATTTTTTACTAGTACTACTAAAATAAAATCTCATTGTTAACAGGAATTCACAAGACTATAATTGTTAATTAAGAGAGAGATTTACACAAGCCAAATTTAGGCCTGAGAATAAGAAGGGTGCGTGTTATGGATTATATTTGTAGGGGATGGCCTGTGAGAATTCATAAGATAGAAACAGAGAATTCTGAAAATACGGACAAAGATTTTACTCTACCTGTGTTTGCTGTTGTGTTCACCAAATTCAAGAAAATGTCAAACATGAAACCAGTAAGTAAAGGAAACAAAATTTGACATTGGTTAAAAAATCATGAGATTTTCTAACATGTTGTTAGCATAATTTGTTTTTCCATGTAATATTTTTATTTGGTAGATACTTGAAATAAGCAGCTCTGAAGATAAAATCAGTCGATATAACTCTGTAGATGAAATGAAGACTCTGATCAAAGAGGTGCAGTATTATGCCATGATTAGACAGAAACTAAGTAAGAGGTAAGGGAAACAACTCTATATTAAACCAGAAGTCTCTGTCGAGACTGTAGCTCTACTGGTTTATACTTAAAACAGAGGAAGAGAAAAGTAGCAGTTGCGACTTGAAACTTTAAAAACAGCAATTCATAGAAAAATGATCCTTGCCAATCATCAAAGCAAAAACCGATGCAGAGAGTTATGTATCTTAGTGTAGTCTACTTGTGTGCCAAGTTATATTGAAATCAAACCAAAACTGTAGAAGGAGTAGCATTTTGAAAGAATTTCAAAGAAATTTCTATTTTTAGTAACCATGGCAACACCGTTCATCGAAATCAAAAACCGATGCACAGAATTATGTATCTTAGTGTAGTCTACTTGTGTGCCAAGTTATATTGAAATTGGACCAAATCTATAGGAGGAGTAGCATTTTGAAAGAATTTCAAAGAAATTTCTATTTTTAGTAACCTCGGCAACACCGTTCATTGAAATCAAAAACCGATGCACAGAATTATGTATCTTAGTGTAGTCTACTTGTGTGCCAAGTTATATTCAAATAGAACTAAAACTGTAGGAGGAGTAGCATTTTGAAAGAATTTCAAAGAAATTTCTATTTTTAGTAACCATGGCAACACTGTTCATTGAAATCAAAAACTGATGCACAAAATTATGTATCTTAGTGTTGTCTACTTGTGTGCCAAGTTATATTGAAATCGGACCAAATCTGTAGGAGGAGTAGCATTTTGAAAAATTGTTTACAGACAGACAGACAGCTAGACAGACGGACAGACAGACAGACGGACGGACGCCGGACGCATTACTATCGCACAAGCTCTTCTGGTCTCTGACCAGTAGAGCTAAAAAGGAAAACAGTGTTCACTTAAAAGGATTATGTATACAAGGGGAGGCTGTGTACTCCTTAATGAATATGGGACACAGTTCATCAGACATGTTCATATAGATCCTGTAAACTTCAAAAGTACATGTATAGAAAGGATATAAGTTAATTAAAAAACATTGAAAACTCATAAATTCATACAATGAATGCATTTTAAATAAATATATCACAAAAAGTCCTAATTATTTATCTGAAAACTCTACATGAGAATATCTATACCTTAAATAAAAAAAAAAATATACCTTTAAATTACTTGTAATTGATATAATGTTACAGCTGACCATAAAGATCATGACCACTGAATATTACAGTTTACCTAACTTCTCAGAAGTAAAATTGATATTACAGGAACTTGTACGGTGAGCAGGTTTCCTTGACCCTGTTCACATCCTCATCATCAGAACCTCGGTACACCCTCCATATCGTGGATGTCCCAGAGACAGGCCTCAGGAAGTTCGCCATATTTATTGTTCCTCAGGGGAGGTAACTTGAAAATTTTATGAAAATGAAGTTTCTTGTAACAAAAATAATATTTTATAGCTGGTATTAATGTATATTTTATATGTATATGTGCAATGGTATTATAACAGAATAGATAAACACTTTTGTTTGAACTATTCAAAGATGATAATTATTGAGTTGTAA